ACCAAAGAAACCCTAGCCGCCAGTGCTCGCTGGAGAAGAAGAACCAGACGCCGGAGGAGTCGGCCGCCGCCACCCGCCGCCGCACCAGGGAAGTTTCCGACCGCCGATCAAGGTATTTTTTCTCCCCCTTGCTTGTTTTTCGACGCTGAGTCCGCCTACGGCCAAACCGGAGCCAAACCACCGGCCAAACGGCCGGAAAACTCAGCCGAAACCCAGCGGCGCCGCCGCGCCCCTCCTCGGTTTTTGCCTCCGATGAGGCCCTTCTCGGCCTCCGTTTGATGCAAATTTTATACCACTGTGATCATTGTTCTTTTCTCTACAGGTTGATCGGAGCCAAACATCAAAACGCGACTCACGCTGGAGGAGCCGCCGCACCCGAGAGCACCGCCGCCGGTAAGTTTCGGTTTTTCATGATTTTTCGGCCCACCGAGGGCCCTAGGGTTGTTCTATCGCGGGGACCGATGCAAGCGTGGCCGAATTCGGCCAAAAAAAGTCGTTGTGCCGGAATTGCGATATTAGTCGAAAGGGGCCCTAGGTCTAATTTGGGATTTTTTGGGACACATGCAGGTATTAGTAGTGTGTTGCAGTTCCCCGGAAAAAATTCAGGGAAAATTAGGGACAGCCTGTAGGCGCACTGTAGAGCCGTATTCAGACCCCGAAACAAGTAAGGACCCCTCACCCTATTTCCTATTACGGTATTAAAGTTCAATAAATGATAAAACGGTATTTCATGAATCAATAGATGTGTGAAATTGTTTAAGGTCGCTAATGGAGCCCGAGTCTGGTGTATTTGTCGGTCAATTGTTGTTCGTTCTATTTTACAGTTTTAAATGCAGTATGATGTCCGATGTTTTTATTTCATAGTTTCGTGTGCATATATCACTGTTTTATTGATTATGGGTTTCATGACTGAGAACCCGATGTTGTGTGTTGTCTTGTTTGGCATAAACTACTGGTTTGCATGTTTGTGTGTGATTTGATGATGGTGACTGAGGAAAAAAGGAATAAAAGGTTACGTGAATTGATAAATGGATAATGTGGACAGCCTGACTAGATATCCTGGGAGATGGTGGATGGACCGGGTCCGTAGGGAACCCTACCGGGAACGTGGTCTCTCATACCGGACGGGGTATAGAGACCTTTTGTGTTTTGGCGCCCATACCGGATAGGGTATGGGGACGGCCTATTTCACCCTCATACCGGACGGGGTATTAAGGTTCACAGTTTTGGTGCCCATACCGGACGGGGTATGGGGACGGCTCTGAAATCATGTTATAAATGTTAAGGGTTCACGGGTAGCGGGACCCCTATGGATCCCTATGGATACTAGTAGGCTGGTAAATGAGGAAAATGTATTGTTTAATGATTGAGATGCAAAGGTGTGGTAAGTATTCTGTTATACAGTTCATATGATTTCATGATGATGATAATGTTATTATTTTCATAAGTTGTTTTCATGAATCTCACCGAGGTAAGTGGACAGTAAAGGTTTTTATGTTAATAAACGAGTTTATTATAAATTATGCTCCATTGGTCTTTTTGTGTTTTCTACCCACCTTTACCTCCGTGACGGTGAGATAGTGTGATGTCTTTACTGAGCTGGTGTACCTCATTCCTTATTTAACCATTTCAGATCAGGAAGACATTGTTCCTGAGCCCGTTCTGCAGGAAGAAATACGAAGGGGACGCCTAAAGACTCC